CGAGACGATGACGAGTCAGCCTACAGACGGGAGGTTGAGCAGCTGGTCCTGTGGTGTAGCCACAACAACCTGGAGCTCAACACGCTCAAAACAGTGGAGATGACAGTGGACTTCAGGAGTCTGTTCTCTGCACCTTCATCACTGTCTGGTTTGGCTCAGCAACCAAACAGGACAAGCACAGATTTCAGCAAACAGTCAGGACTGCAGAAAAGGTCATTGGTGCAAGCCTGCCCTCCATGGAGGACCTGTACACTGCATGGGTCAAAAGGAGGGCAGAGAGGATCACTGCAGACCCCTCACACCCCGGGCACAATCTGTTTGAACTCCTCCCCTCTGGACGACGTTACAGTAACTTTTACTTAGCTATATTATCGGAGTACTTCCAGCACTGCTTCTGTGCATCTTTGCTTGATTTTTGTAACGTTTTTTTCCTCAGCCTTCAGAATGCTGCAGCTACAATTTTAAACAAATCCAGTAAATCTCACCACAACACCCCAGTTTTAGCGTCCCTTCACTGATGCCATATTTATGTCAGATGAGGCTTTAAGGTGCTTCTGAATACAAATAAAATACAGGACTCCAGTGTGTCAGTTAAAAAAAAAAAAAAAAAAAAAAAAAAAACGTTTATCATATTCATATTCTCTGATCCACAGGTCATTCTCAATCTTTATAAACCTAGGGTCTTCCCTACTGTAGTAAAGCTTAGGCGCAGCACCTAAGTGCCTTTGTCAAGTGCTATAGCCGAATGAATGCAAAAAGGCGACATATCAGAATAAAAAAACAATGGTGATTACTTGCAGTGAAAAACAGTGGAGAGTTGCTAGATATTTTTTGTAAATGCTTATGTTACATGCTCGAGCAAAATATGAATTTCAACCAGTATATGGTATAACACCAATATGGGGCTCAAATTCCAGATTGTAATCTCTGGAGCAATGAGGAAAAACCAAGGGCTTGTGGCCGATTATACCCAGTGCAATAGCTGTAGGCCCCCAGCTTACCTTCATATGTTTCAGCTGCTCTTCCTGTTGGTCAACACACTTTTCAAACTCCTCCAGAAGTCTCTCCAGTGCAAACATTTCTTGTCCAAGTCTCTTAATCTTATTTTTAGGCAATTCTAAATGTGGAGAAAGAAAAACAAACACAATTGCACTTATTTATGGCACACTACTTAACATAATAATGAAAGAAAACCCAGTCACCATTCTTGTTTCTTATAAATCACTGTCATACCAACGACTGACAGATCCAGGATGCACTTGAGGGATGCTATCTTGTCATGAATGTGGTGGCTGATATCCTCCATCTTTCTAAAACATCGATACACTTTATTAAAAACGGTCATTTACACATTATGGACAATACTAATAGATGAAATTTTGGTCTAACATTAGTAAACAGATTTAGTACACAATACCAAATCTTTATATGAAACTGTGTGGTATTTAAACTGTACAATTACAAGCTACAGAAAAAAAGCTCTATAAATCGGTTCACACTTTATGTAATTATTATGCCTTCCGTATAGAATTAAAACTCCAACTGCCTTCCTCCTGGTACACAAACACACACGTTTTCATAGGACGAAACGTTATTCACAAACCGAGAGGTTGGTGGTTGTATTTCGAGAGGACAAACACAACACAGCAGGATGCAACTGAGTTTTCAGGGCTCCTCTGTTAATTCGGCATAGATATAATATATAACTTGGAGTTAAATGAACAGCCAAAAGAAGCCAAGTAATTAATAACGAAAGAAGTTGTGACAGAATAAGCTAACGCTGTTAACAATGCCCTAAAGTTAAGTGATCAATTATCTACCATTAACGAAATAGCTGTATGCCTGTCTTAAACAAAACATTGGTCGCCGCAACGTTTAGGTTAGCTAGTTAAAACAGCGAGCTCTTCGATAAAAGATAACGCTAAAGACACCGTTACGTTTTCTAGCAATTTCGACCATATTAACAAAACAAGCAGAAACACCACCAACCTCCAGCCGTGCGTTGTTAACTCTCACCGCGCAGTTGTCAACCACAAATTATAGGACGCACACCGATTTACTTCCTCATTGCCGGGCTCCCAGTTCAAATTTGGAACGTGTCTCGTTACGTCACGACCGGCGCATGCTCGGTCTCATCATCGTCCCCTTCATAGACTGTGGGAAATATCAGAGGTAAAAGTATGTAAACATCGCAAGAAGAAGAAGAGGGATACCACTGGGGTTGGAAGCATCCTGTTATTCAGGTAAAATAGCAGTAGAAGAAGACATCTTGGAAGGATTTTCCTGGATCACTAGTGTCAGCTTGAAATCAGTGGTGCTAACTCTGTTTGGCCGCTATTTTCTTGAGGAAAGCAAAGGATGCTTCAAGTCAAGGACCAGGTTTTTTCTGGGGAAATAAGGTGAGGAAGGTGGATAGTTACGAAGAGTTTGTAGTTTTATTCAAAGTAAAGGGTCAGAAAGAGGGGTGAGAAGGATTTAGTTACTTTACAAGAAACAGCTGCATTGGAAGGAAACATAGGTAAGGGATTTCAGGCCAGACTGCTCTTAAACAGATTGCTTAAAGATTGGTGTAAAGATCAGGTTCATTTTGACAGTGCTAAAATGGTAGGTAAAGTTGTGGTGAAAGTGGAATGTATTGTTCCAAGAACTAAAAGAGTGGGGAAAGGGAGTGATTTATGGAGTGTATGCTGGCCTGACTGAACAAGAAACATTTGATAATGTTAAAGGAGGATGAGTGGTTCAGCTAATGAGATTTAAGTCAAAAGATGGAGGAAATGAGGATACTCCAGTGCTGTTAGTCTACTTGGGAAGTATAACTTTTCAGGTTAAAGAGTATCTGAGACCACTACTTCATTGCTATAACCATCAGAGATTTGGGCATGTTGCTGATTCGTATCAGGGTAAACGTAGGTGTGCGAAGTGTGGAGATGATCATGAGGCTAAAATGTGTAAAGCAGAAGCTCCAACTGTGGGGGAGTCCATGTGGCAGCCTTTTGTGGATGTGAGCAATTATGTTATGAAGAGGAGTGATTTTTCAACAGAACTGAATGACTTTCCTGCTATAGAGGCATGCTGTCCTGTAAATGACACAAACTATATGCATTTTGACAGCTTGTGATAGTACTGCTTAGGTATAAAATCAGCCCGTCTGCAGTTGGCGCTACAGCAGCATACTGGTGTGACATCCTGTGTAACCCATCTATTGAGTTCGTACGGTCTACAGCAGGTGGTGAGGGCAGGGTTCAGGGATGCTTTGTGGGCAGGTTCGGATTGGAAATGGTGTTGCTTAGGCTAGGCAATTCAGTCAGGAGGTAGGACCACACACTTGCCATTTTCCCTGAACAATTTCAGAGACGCTAACTGTCCTGTAGTGTGGGGCGGCTTTACTGTGGGACTCTGAAGACTTGTGATGGCTTGGACTGACACCCCCCCTTTGGGGCCAAATAATGGGTAAACATCATTTAACTCATACACTGAGCTTCCATACGAATGCTCTCTCATTCTTTGACACATTTAACTGTGTATTATTGACCTAGTCCAGTGCAACACCACCTTTAACTATGGCTTCAATAATAAATATATTATTGAATGTATACATTTATGACAATTTCACCAAAAACTGAAACATTTCAAGCCTCATAAACACAGATGTTTGCAGGTGTTGCCTTGACTTGCATACAGTTGTACCTAATAAAGTGGCCGGTGAGTGTACATCACACAGTATTGTGTAGTATCATGCTGTATCTGATCATATAGTATAATGTAGCATGTTTGAGACTATTTGTGTGTAAACATATATAGTATACAGTGAACAGAACCTACTGTCCTAAATACACAGTACAGTCAGCATCCAAATTACTGCTGACCTCAGCTTATTGTGCCAAAAGCTTTTCAAACTAATCGGGGTCAGTCTGGGGTGAGAAGCTGAAGCAGACAAAGGAGTGAAAGCACTCGGGGAGTGGGTCAGTTCCAAGCCTCCTAAATGTCAAAATGTCTAATAGACTAGCGTTTGTTAGCTAGTTTTAGCCTCGGAGGCAAACTCCACGCTGGTCCTGCTCCTCTGTTCCTGCCTTGTGGCAACACTACTCAGCAATATTGATGCTGGAGACAAATACCAGCTTACAAATTCCAGCTACATACTGGATTTAAAATGAAAAGTGTGCAATTTAATTCAATTGTTTAGGCAACAAACACATAACATGTTTTCTGTCTTTTCTCTCGTCTCATTACTGTTGATCATGTAGTGGTTAGCAATAAACCAGATTCCAGAGGTAATATGTAATAGAACAGTATGTAGTTCATATTTAGATAATACTTGTGTTAGTTGTGTAAGGATGTAAGGCTGAGCTCAGTGTGTACGGAAGCTTGATCTGTCTCTGGCGCAGGCAAGAATATCTTGGGCTGTGTCCCTTGCTGCCCCCTAGGGGTCAACATCCTGTGTGACTTCCTCCTCAGATAGGGAATGGATATATTGTAGCTGTAGCCTTATGTGAACTGTTCGTCTGTTCAGGTTTAGAAAAAGGAAATGTGTGCTAGGTCAATGTGACCTAGAAGGTCATGTACTGGACAGTTTAGACAATGCTAGGAAGAAGGTGTGTGTGGGTAGCTGGCATGGGACCGTGTCTTCATGGCTCCGGCTGTGTGAGTATGAGCAGATAAAAAGCTGGGTTAGAGCAGAAGAAGTGGGAGAGAGAGGATGACCATGCTACCGTGAACAGTGTACCACAAGCCCAGCCTCGGAGGGCCGGGGGGAAATGACGACTGACTGGGGGTTGACAGGGTAACCGACTCGGGACCGACATCAAATGGCTTGACTGACTGGTGCTCTGACAATTTTCTTATGCTTTATCTATTCCATTGCAAGAGGAGAGTCTCTGTTCTCTGATCTCTGTTCTCTGTTCCCTAACTACAATATTATGTGTTTAAATACTACTCTAATTCAGAAGATAGGGCAGTGCATTTCTGTTGTAAATAATCCAGTAACTACCTGGCTGACACTCCAACTTATGCAGGTGACGGTATTGCACCTTAAGGCTGGAAGAAGAAGAACCCTACCGCACAGACAGTATACACATTAAAGACCGATAGCATCACGATAGCACAATTATTCATGCTTACCTCCAGACTGTCACCAAAGCTACATGTTGACTGGTTGGCAGAGAACAATCCTTAAATGCTAACAAAGCCTGCTGATACACTCGCTTATCAAGTAATATACCACACATATTCCTGATTTTGTTTTTTCACGCAATGATTTATCTGTTTCATATCACTTTAAACTGGCAAATGTGTTAGCTTGGATGCAGTCAAATGCTAAAACAAAGCCAGTACTGATTGGAGATTATTTTGTGCACAAAGATGTTTTTGACTCGGATGAAAAAAATACGACACTAAGTGTGTTTAAACATGTGAACATATTTTATTTTTTTTTTGGTGTTGTGTGATTGAGATGTGTGTCTGACGTTAGGGACAGAGGGATGATTGAGAATTGTGTGAATTGCAATTTCTTGTTGTTCTTATGTCAATTTCATGTGTTTTCAGACTGTTTACTGTGGAGGTGAGTATAACACTTAATTTCTATTTTTGTGAAACGATGAGGATGTGGGGAGTAATTCTCCCCCTCTTTGCTCCGTGTGTGTGTGTTCTGCTACCTACTTCCTGTATGATATGTGTGTGAGCTGCTCACTCTGTGAGTGTGTGTGTGTGAGAAGGTATAGCATTTATTAACATTGTGTAAATAG